TGCCCGGCAAAGATGCAGTCAGGCCGACGATGGTCATCGAGTTGAAGACGGCGGCGCGGCGACGATGTCGCCGACGCCGTCGTCCGGCTCGGTCACGAGCGGGGCGAATCACCGTGAAGAACGCGGGCGCCGAAGACCCGACCGCTTTCGGGGGGGGGGTGCGCAGCGTTGAAAGCCGAGCACGTTTGCGATGGCACTTGCGATGGCCATGTCGCCCTCGCCCTTGCGCGCGACGATGGAGGAGAGAGCGAGTCGGGGACGGAGGTGCCGGAGGAGAGCACGATGGTGCCCATCGCGATGCCCGGGATGTTGAGGATGCAGCCGACGCACGTGGACTGGACGCAGGCCACCTGGGGCGGGGGGGTGTTGGGAGGGGGGGGGGGGGAATAAGGCTTGCGGTGGGGAGGCGGGTGGGTGGAGGGAAGTGGAGAAGGGTGTGGCGAGGGGGTTGGCGGGGAGGGCGGTGCGGGGGGAGGTGGTGTTGGTGAGGGGGGGAGGGGTGCGAGGTGGTGGGTGTGTGGGTGTGTGGGTGTGTGCAGAGTCGGGCCGGCGGTGCGGCGGCAGCGCACGTGATGAGGATGCAGATCCAGGCGACCGACATGCCGAAGTTCCACGTGAACCAGTACTTGCACTTGTCGCGCATCGACTCCGGCATCGACAGCTTGAAGGCGGAGATGAGCGGACACGAGAAGGCCGATGCAATTATACGAGGAGGAGGAGGGACTCGTACCGGCAAGGAGGAGGAGGTCGAGAGCGAAGAAGAAGAGGAAGAAGAAGAGGAGGATGACGGAGAGGATGTAGAAGGAGAAGTCGCACAGCACAGGGAAGTGGGCTGTGTTTGCGTTTCTTTGTGGGGACGTTGGAAGGGTGGAGGCATCTAGATGGAGATGAAGAGCGAGGCGCACCTCAGACTCGGCACCTGATCGGACGGAGGCAGCCCGGTGAGCGGGGGGAGAAATAGAGGATGCGGCGGCGGCCGGCGGACGGCGCTCAGCGCGCATGGGCAAATCCAGCGCGGAGCGGGCAGCGCAGGCCCGGAGCCCTAGCGCGGGCGTGGCGCGGCAGGGCGCGGCGCGGGCGCGGTGGCGCGCAGAGATGCTGGCCACGCTGCTCGACCGGCGGTGGCCGCACCTGCGAGCGGAGAGGGGCAGGCGGTGAGGGCACTCGAGCGACGCGCCCAAGCCGCAGGCGGCGCAGTGTGGTGGAGGGGAGGAGGCGGCGGCGCGCAAAAGCGGCGCGCCGCCGGCGAGGGTGTGGGATCGGGCCATCGGGGCGGCGGCGAGCACGCAGCGGCGTGGCGGGGGCGGGGGGGCGGGGGCGGGCGACGCGGGCGGCCGCCGCTGCTCCGCGCCGTCGACCCACACCTGCGGGCAGAGAGCTCCGGCTGACGTCTCGTGCGCTGTCTCGCGAGGCAAAAGAGCGGCGCGCAGCCAGGGCGAGTCCGTGTCTGGAGCAGAGAGGCCGCGCCGCGGGCGGGCACAAGCTGGAGGACAACCTGGCTTGTGGTGTAGGCGACGAGGGGGAACCGCTGAGGTCGTGCCGAGAGTGAACGCGAGATGTCGCAAAGAGAAAAATGAAAAAGCTTGCACCCACCGCCCCTGCCACCCTCGGCGTGTGCCTCCGCCGCCCCTGTCAGTGTGCCTGCGGTAGACAGGACACCAAGTGGGTGGCGCGAAGGCGTTAGTTTGGGGAGTAACGTGCGGCATATACAGCATGACTAAGTCCAGCCCTGGGTGAGCCGGGTTGTGACATTTGGCGATTCCGCGGCTTACTGGGTCCCTGAGCCGCTCCCCGTGTGCGATTATTGTGGCCCAGGCATGGTACTGATAGTATGTGTGTGCGTGGTACTGATAGTATGTGCGAGAGAGAGATTGTTGTTTATGTATGTATGTATTTTTACTATATATAGGACGCGTCCAGGACACGGCCTCTCCCCCCCCCGCGGACGCGTCCACTGGTCGGTCGGCCGAGTCAGCCCCGCCGCGGCCCAGCCGGGGTCGGTCGGCCCCGTCGGCCCCGATTTGACGGAAGTTGTAGCGCTAATCCTAGGTCGCACACTTAGCTCGCGGTACTCGTCAGTATACTAGATACGCCGTGCTTGCCATGAAGGATGCCCTGGAGGTTTTAGCATCTGGGGATCATGGAAAGGCATGTACCAGGTATTGCCACCGTGTATGCGATTTCGCCTGCCTTTTGATATCTCGCGCCAGTGATATCCGAGCTTCCTCTGATACTGCATATCCTTGTAGCGGCGCACCAGATGGTCTGGAACCCATTGTAACCACATAGGGTCCTCGCCTCCCGTACTATAAGCATTCAACGCGTTGCGCGTACTGCGCGCTCTTCTCCTAAGTTTGGTAATAAACTCGCGAGCCCTCAACCGCAGGCGCACGACGGTGGCCACACTAACCATTGCACAAGTTGTGTCCGAAATTTGTGGAGCACCTAGAGTAGTGCCGCTGCGCACTGGTTGGGTAGTAGTCTAAGTTCTGAGCCTCGAGGCTGGACGGGTCTAAGTGTGGCTAGCCACGCTGGAGTGCTTGCGCGGTCTAAGATCAGCGGGAGCCTCTTACATCGGCTAAGTCGGCCGTGGCACGGCCTGGGGCCAGGAGGCTCCCACCGTGATCAACGATACGGCGCAGCCCCCAAATTTTCTTCGCCTGCGGAGGGCGATGGATCCTCTTCATGCTTAGCAATCGCCGCCTCAGCATCCTCCTCTTCCGATTTTCGTTGCTGCTCCTTCATTCTTGAGCGACGTCTAGCCAAACAGTTCTCACATGACACGAAGCTCCTCAAGCTTAATCAAACGCGTGACGGTGAAGCCTGTGTGTGCTGGTCCTCTTTGAACGATCCGCGCGTGAGGTAGCATAGGGCCTTGTTGGCAGCAGCCAGCTTGTTGCGCTGCTTCGTTGCGATGAGCTGATTGGGATCGCAGAAGTGCATGCCAAGCACCGCCACGATCTTGAAGCAGAACACATCGCAACCGCATCGTCCGCACTGCCATCGGCATGCCGCGCCCGCCGCTTCGCCGCAGCCGCCTTAAGGCACGCATAGCGGCAGCACATGGTGGGGGGGGTACTTGAGCAGGCGTTGCGCGCCGCAAGTAGCGCACTGGCCCTGGGAGAAGGCGATATGGCGTCGTGCGCGGCATACGCGGCATACGTTGGTGGGACGCGTCCAGGTATTTCGGGTAAACCTGGAGGCTTTTCAGGTATACCCGGGTTTTGCCCGGAGTTGGCCTTATGTCGTCTAAGTTCATGGCCCCCGACCATACAGCGTCTAAGTCCGAGCCCGGCTCCGTGTGGGGGCTAAGTTGAGCGCTCGCTCGCTGCAGAGGCTAAGTGTAGAGCGACCCTCTAGCCCTACTACCCAACCATTCGCTGCGCGAACTGGATGTGCGGCGGGTAGGGCGAGCTGTCTTGCGGCACTCGGACAGCGATGTGGCCGTCCACGCCCATCGGCTGCACCGCGGACTCGAGGAGGTGGCCCTGGAACCCGAACAGCCCAGGGCGCTCCTCGCACTGGTCGAGCACGAAGTTGCGGAAATCCGAGAGCCACTCTGTCACACTGCCGTCGTCGAGCCTCAGTATGAGCAGGAAGTCGTCGTCGCGAGACATCACCTCGAGCGTCACATGCGGCGGGGGCTCCAGGCTGACGGGCACTGCCGGGCGCTCCCTGCAGCCGAGGAAGAGGTCGACTCTGGGCGACACTGGTACGGCGAATCTGGCCGGCGCGCGCTGTGGTCTGTCGAGCAGCTGGATGTGCTCGACTCGCATACCGGACGGGTAGGGCATCGCGCAGTGCGTGGGCGGCCCCAGAGTCACGGTTCCTGGATTGTGGTACTTTCCAGGACGTGTCCGATTTTTCTGGTAAGACTCGTATCATGCCTCGTCGGACGCGCTCGCGCGCACTAAGTCCCAGTGCCGCGGCCACTCGTATTGTGTCGCGGGCAATCGGCTTCTTGGTTCGGCGCATTTATAGAGCTTACCGTGCTCGCATAACGTTCGAACGTTTGCGAGTGTATTTCGGCATGTCTAGCGGCTTGAATACGCTTCGTATGACGAACAATAGCCGTAATTATGAATACAGGAGGCTCAGTCCGTTTAACGCGATGGTCATACCAGAGAGCGACCGACGCCCTGTAGATCCACCTGCCACGTGGGACGGAGAGCCAATCAGGGACGATCTCTACCAACTGGCGGTTCGGCGCCGCCTCTACTAACCCTGGATTCGGTACTTTGGTGGTAGGGGACTCGCGGAAAAAGTGGTTCACGGGCCTTGTTAGAACCGGGGGAGTGTCCTCTACCACCCCCCGGCCTCGGTTTGCCCCGTAAAATAGTTAGAGGCTGCGCAGGCCGTCCCGTTTGCTGTTTGAAACGCCTGTTGCGCTGGCCGCTGCGCGCGCGCGCTGGCCGCTGGCGCTGCCGGGGCTCTGTCTCACTCTCACGTGCCGCAATATGTGTCACACACGGCGGCTTCTGCCACCTCTCGATTGGTTCTACTTTCTACGCACACCTACCGGGGAAGGGGCGCTTGGGAGCGGGGGCGGGGGCGGGGGCGGGGGCGCGCAGCGCGGCTGCGCGGCGCGCGCAACAGAGGGTAGGGTGGGGAAGACGGCGAGGAGGGGGCGGCGGCGGCGGCGGCGGCGGCAGCGCGCGCGCGGCGCGCGCGACGGCGGGGGCGGAGCAGCGACCGCTGGCGCGGCCGCTGCTCCGTCTGTGCCAGGGACGCGCGCTCTGCGCCGCTGCACAGAGCGCGCGTCAGGGCAAGGGGCATGCGTGGCGGCGCGGGACGCGCGGCGGCGGCGGCGAGCACGCTCCGTGAGCGGTGAGGCGGCCGGGCGAGGGCGCGGCGGGTGACGGGTCAAGGGAGCAGCCCACACCCGGCGTCGCTTTTTGAGCGACGGCCTGTGGTACGCCTGCGCAGGGGCCGCAGGGCGTTCAGTTGTGGGGCGAGGCGGTGCCGGCCGCGGGCCGGGTGCAAGGCGCCGGCCTCGGCGCCGCCTCGGCGCGCCGCACGGGCGCGGCGAGCCTCTGAGCGGTAGCCGAAGGTTTGCCTGTGGGAGGTGGGAGGTTGGGGTGATTTGACTTTGCCGCAGAGGCCGTCCCTCGCTGTGAACAGCAAAAAGGGACAGTATTGTTTTTGCGATGATCAGGTTTTCGATCAGCTTCCACATGCAGGTGTGCGGTCCGGATGGGGCGGTCACATGGCAAGAAGGCCCAGCTGCGAGCTTCTGGGCCGACGACCGCAAGCTTGCTCTCGGCAAGTCCTTTCGCGGTGTCGCCTTCTCGAAAATGGCCTCGCCAGCGGCCTTCGGCCGCTTCGTGCAGGACGGTTTCCAGCTCAGCAGCACCCGGCACCAGGGCGTGCTGCGAGATGGATCCGCCCGGTGGAGCTACGAGGTCGCGCCTCAGGCCGACGGCTTGTGCCCGAGCACAAGTCAGGTGAACGCTAGTCTCATTCTCTCTGCAATGGCTTGGTAGGTGGGCTGGGGCGGTCGGCTGGGAGACAAGCAGTATTCGACCGCTGGCTGGCTCGCCGCCTTCCCCGTCTTTGAGCCCATGTATCAGGTGGTGATGGCGCACGGCCTCGCCTCGGGATGGGTCGAGTGGCGCGGAGAGCGGCGCGAGTTTAGGGACGCGCCCTGCTACACCGAGAAGAACTGGGGCGGCGCCTTCCCGCGGCGCTGGTGGTGGGTGCAGTGCAACGCCTTTGAGGCGCGCGGCCTCACGCTGACCTGCGCGTGCGGCGAGCGGTCCAACCCGCTGCTCGAGCCGCTGCTGCCGGGCCGCACCGAGGACGCCTGCATGGTGGCGCTGCACGACGAGTCCGCCAAGTTCTACCCCTTCCCTAACTGCGAGTGGGACGTGGAGTGGGGTCGCTGGACGGTGCGGGGCGCGCTCGACGACCTGCGCGTGCGGGTGGAGGCCACTTGCGACGGCGAGGCGGCCTCGGTGGTGCGATGCCCCGCCTCGGACGGCATGACCGCCTCCGCGAGGGAGCGCTTCGATGGGTCGCTCTCCGTGCGCGTGTGGCGGGTGACGGCCAGAGAGGAGGAGGAGGAGGTGCTCATCGACTCGACGAGCAGCCGAGCCGCTGTCGAGGTGGGCGGCGAGGGCTGGGAGGGCGGCGGGCGCTGGAAGGGGTCGTGCGAGGTCGCGGGCGCAGCACGGGCGATCCTCTCGGCCGACGTGCCGCTGGAGCGCTTCCGCGAGGCGATCCCGGGGCTGTGAGATTTAACAACCCACCCCGGCGCGCGCGCGCACAGCTACAGAACAAAGTCAAAGAACGGTCTTGCTCCTTCTTCCCATCTCCGCCTCTGGTAGAGATGTCCGTTTTGTATTTTACGTGTACAGCTTCTTACAGCTACGTATATACGTATACAGATCTCCGTCGGCGGCTCGCATGCGTGTACATGCGGCGAGTGAATCCGACCACACCAGCGCTCTCAAGACAACGTGGCGCGCACACCCAACGTTATCGGATCTGAGAGATGTTCACGTTGGTGGTGGTGTGTGCAGAATTGTGGGGACGGTAGTGCTGGTGACGGTCGGGGCGAGTGACACGTCCAGCTTCCGTATTAAGTGGTTGCACCCGCCTTCACCGGGGCGTGCCGTGGCGGCCGCTCGCGGTCGGTGCATGTCGGCAGGCACTCGACGATGGTGTCGGGGTGCGGGCCCGCGAAGAAGACCAGGCAGACGCGGGCTGTGCCATCGCCGGCCGGCGGGTTGGCCACGCGGTGCGTGTTCGAGAGCAGCACGTCGTTGGTCCAGCACTGGATGAGATCACCCGCGTTGACGGTGAAGGCCTTTGGCGGCGGCGGCGCGTCCAGGAACGCCCCCGTCTGCGGGTCGCGCACCTGAAGCCCGCCCTTTGGCGGCACTCCGTCGGGCGCCGTCTGCGAGCCACCATTCGCGTTGTGGTCCTGCCAGAGCAGGGTATAACCCTGGAAGTCGGTGTGCTCGCCATAACGAAGCTGGTTCGCCCTCGGCGGCATGCCCGCCTGGCTGCGGTAGTGTGCGAGGCGAAGGATGTTGTGAGGGCTCGTGCCGCCCGCCCCGGCGTCGGCACCCCAGAATCGCGCAAAGTAGGAGCGCGGCATGCCGACGGAGACCGCCGTGATCTCCATGATCGCCTGCAGCAGCCGTTGCACGGACCCAAAGTACCGGTGCGTCGCGGGCTTGAGCTCGGGCAGCGAGCGCGGAAAGAGGTCTGCGTCGGAGTGATGCACACGAGCAGGTGCTCCACTATGTCCGTCGGCCGCGCCGGAGCTTCGCCCTGGAGATTGAAGCCGGTTGGAACGCCGACCCTTTCGGTGGCGGCGACGGTCTCGAGTCCCTCGGCCGTGTAATGCCTCGCGCGGTAGCCCCATCCCTCGCCCATTGATGGGCCGCGGCCCTCACGCAGTCGCTGAGCTTGTCCTCCATCGGCAGCGCGAAGAAGCGCTCGGCAGCAGCGTAGCACTCCTCAATATGCTCATCCGGAACGCCGTGCCCGACGACGTGGGCAAATCCCCATCGGCCAAAGGCCTCTCGCCACTGACGGCAGACATCGAGAGCCTGCTCTGTCAACGGCGCACCGCTGGTCCGTGAGCAGGCCAGGAACGGGGATATGTCGATGATCGCGGGATGGCCTCGGACATGCTTGTGCTTGTGCGTCTTGGGCTCGGGTTGTGTTTTTGCGTGAAGAGCTTCTTGTTTCTTATCAACCTATGTATAAAGAAAACGCAAAAAAATAATAGGCGTGAAAACGGACCCCAGCCCTATCCAGCCAGCAAGCAAGCGAGCGGCCGCAAGGCAGCGTGTTCAACTTCTTCTCTGATCGAAAGAATTTTACAACAATCAACAGAGGAACTCGTTGAGCAGGCCGGGAGGCAGGTGATCCATCCCATCCCCCCCCCTCCCCCCCCTTGAGTTTGTGTGTTCTTGTGTGTAAGTCGTTGTGTGGCTAGACAACACGCACGCACAACCCGCGTAAAGAGCGGCGTCTGGAAAATGAACTGCTTTATCTGCTTTCATACTACACTAGATACCACCCACCGCCCCCACACAGCAAGCAAAACAAGCCAAACAAATGCGGATTAGCTTTTCAGACATCAGAGGTTGAGCGACCAAGACGCGTTCACTGCGGCGCGAGCGCCTCCGGCGAGCGGACCTTCTGCTCGTCGAGGACGTTGCGGAGCGCGCGCTTCAGCACCTTCTCCGCGTGCCGCTTGAGCGCGGCGTCGTGGTCGGCGATGTGCTCGTGGATGAACGGGTTGCTCTCGCCCAGCAGCTGCTCGTCCGTCATGGACGCCATCGCGTGGTTGACGTCTCGGTGGTGCGACTCGTCGGCCAGCATCCGCTTGAGGCAGTCGACCCACCGCGCGTCGCTCGGCAGCTTCCAGTACTCGATCGCCTCGGCCGGTGCGAGGGTGGCGTGCCACGCGGCGTGCAGCCTTGTGCCGGGCGTCTCGGTGGTGTGCACAATGTTGGTGTAGGTGTGGACGGCTGTCTCCTCGAGGTAGCCGACGAAGCGGTGGAGCAGCTGCGGCCGGATCAGGTAGAGCGAGGCGAGGAAGGGCGTCATCGCCACCTGCCCCGCGCTGACCACCAGCCGCGTGACGGGGCCGGCCTCGAAGAAGTCCATGCAGACGATTAGGTGCATCCGCTCATTCTCGGCCTCCTCGAGGAGGGTGAAGATGAAGCCGTGGTCGCGCTGAAGCTGGCGGAGCGAGCGGAAGTGACGGAACATGCCTCCGAGCATGCCAGGCACGCCGGCGACCGACTCGAGGATGATGAGACGGTAGCCGATGGAGGAGGTAGGCGGGTCGGCGTGGTTGTACCCGGTGGCAAAGTTGAACGCGTGGTAACAGAATCGGACGGTCTTCTGCAGCACGCTCTCCGATAGGCTCTGCGGGACGTGCTTGTCGTCGGCTGTGGCCATGCGCTCAACAATCTCCTGCTCGTCCCAGATGTGGTTCTGCTGCCTCCACGAATGGTCGCCGGTGAGGCCGCCGCCCTTGCCGCCGCTGCTGAGCAGCCGGGCGGGCGCGGCAAGGCGCTGGAGTCCAGAGAGCGGGCGAGCGCGGCCGAGCGCGAGGAGGGCCGAACGGGTCGTCATGGAGCGGGACGCGGAAGTCGAGCGGAGTCCAGAGAGCGGGCGAGCGCGGCCGAGCGCGAGGAGGGCCGAACGGGTCGTCATGGAGCGGGACGCGGAAGTCGAGCGGAGCATCGCGGTTGTGGAAGATGGCAAGCAGTTGTTCAGGGACGTCCGATAAGGTGAAACGCCGATTTTGCGGAACGCGAGCGGCTGCGTCCACGTCGCGCTCCCCCGACTTTGTTGCCGATAAGATTGAAACGCCGACAGAGCAGTCCTCATGTATTGTTTGTTGGTCGAGTTGTGTGTGAGCGAGCGCGTGAGTCTTACTTACATACATATTGCAATACCTTACTTTACTTACTCCATCTAGATAGTGCGAGCTAGCTGTGCGAAAGAATTCTAAAAGGTCACACACACACACACACACACACACACACACACACACACACACACACACACACACACACACACACACACACACACACACACACACACACACACACACACACACACACACACACACACACACACACACACCGCTCACCCACACGCGCACCGGGCCTTGCACTTTGAATGCCGTGCGGGGCTCCTGTCGTTAGACGTGGTGGTGGAGACGCGAGGGTTGCCCCCCCTCTTGCGCCCCACCACACCTCGTGTGTGTGGAGAAGTTTACCTTACCTTACCTTACCTGTACGATCGCCAATCGCGCTGTATGTGCCATCAGGATTCAGTGAAAATGATACAGATGGACATGCACTTGCACATGCGCATGTGCAACATGTGCATGCACATGCAGATGCACATGTGCATGTGCATGTGCACCGTCGCTCTTAGATATATCTCAGAACGGTCTCGCGGAGTCACCGCACGCGCACCTGCACGATGCGTGCACCTCCCCCGTTGAGGTTCTGCCCGATGCGCAGCCGCTTGTCCAAGTAGAGGCCGTCGAAAAGGCCAACCCCCTGGATAGGCAGAGGTGCGCACACGCCACCCTCGTCGACGTCGCCGCCAAGGCACAGGCTGCCGCGCGTGATGTCTGCGCGGAAGCGCTTCGGCGCCGCGGTGACGGCCTCGTCCTGCAGGAGGGGTGAGGATAAGGGAGCTGCAGGGGACGGCCTAGGGAGGACTCCCAGCTCTCCTGTTCCGACAGCGCGCCGCCGACGCGCACCGCGAGCGAGGGCCCGAGCAGCTCGCCGACGTTCGTGACGCTGGACGCGCCGAACACCTGGAGAGAGGCGGCGGCGTCGTCACAATGTGCGGCACACCGGGACGCTTTGTCTTTGTTTGGTGCCGGCCTCTCGAGCGCTGCGTGTCCGTCCTCAACTGTCCGCGTGCAATGTGGTGTCGTTGTGTGATGAGTGGAGAGGAGTGGAGAGGAGGGTCTCTTGGCGCAGGTTCGTGGTGTGGGCGAGCGGTTCCTGGAAGTTGTCGTTGAAGGGCAACTCTGGGAAGGGAACCCTCCGGTCGACGCCTGCGCCGTCCGGCCCTGGCAGCAAGTACGCCAATCGCCACACGCCGCGCAGGTCCGACTGGCGCCACGGTGCGCGCAGCGCCGCCACCTCCTCCACCAGAGCGTCGATCGCGGGCCGCTCTGCCGCCGTCCAGTCCGACGGGCGGCGTGCTGCGACCGCCTCGTACAGCCGCGAAGGCGCCTGGGAGGCGGGCGGTGCCGCCGCCGCCGCGACGGGATGTAGCAGGAGGCTGCCGAGCACGCGCCTCGTCAAGAGCTGAGGCTGAGAGACGGCAGCTGCTGCGTCGGCGGCGAGTAGACTGGTGGTGGCGCAGGCTAGGTCGATCGCGAGCATCAGCAGCGCAGGCGATTGCGAATATCTGCCTGTCGACGGCGCCATGGTGTGTACAGTAGGTGATAAGAGGGCTCCCGCGGCGATCAACACCGCAACTCCTTTTCTGGTAGAGCGTGCGGTCGTCCGACTCCCAGCAACTGATGACGCGCGAGATGTCGGTGTCGCGGAATTCGTGCGTACCGTCGCCGTTGGGACGGTCGTTGCTCGCGCCGTTGGGAAACGCAAGGCGCACCTTTTTGTTTTGAAGACCTCGATACTTAGCGCACTGCTCGGGCGAGAGCTCAAACACGTGCCGCGTCTCGTCTTCGCCGCCGGCTACGCGCACAGACACAGTACGCGGCAGCGCCGACACGTCAACCCGCGTGTACGTCAGCGACGGGTCGCGCACGCCGCACGAGGCGCATGCGTGCAGCGGCAGCGCGTGCGCCATGCGCTCGTCGCTCCACTCGCCCAGCAGCCGCCGCTTCGTCTCGTCGGAGACGTGCACGCAGCGCTGCAGCAGCGCCGCCGTCTCGTCCTCGGGCCGCTCCAGGTCCATGACGACGTTCGTCGAGGCGTGGAAGCGCGTCTCCAGGTCGATGGCCGCCTGCTCGGCCGCGGCGAGCTTGCCCTGGTCGACGCACATGCCGCACACCGCGTGCGCCGGGCAGCCGCACTGGCCGCGTTGTGGGCGCACGGTCTTGGCGACCGCCGGCGCTGCGCGCCGGTCGTGCTGCTCACGCTGCCGGCGGCGCTGGTCGCGCGCCTGCCGATCGCGCGTGTTCGCGGCGGCTGCATCTCCTGCTCGTTTCGCTCGCACCCGAGCGGCGGTCGCCAGGCGCTTCAGGTCGGCGGTGCTGCGCGCGCGGCCGTCGGCTCTGCACAGCCACATGTCCTCCTCCTCGGCAGGCTCGCACGGCTTGCCGTCGAACTGCGGCGGGAACCCGCGACGACGCTTCGCCCAGGCCGGGCACGATGGTGCCGCGACGAGCGGCGTCGAGGCGACGGCCATCGATGGGTCCAGAAGACTTGGAGACACTTCTAAACCAAAAGCGAGCACAAGTGCGTTACATGGGCATGGCCGGCGTTTCTGCACCGAACGATCTTACTTTCGGTCTATCGAAAGTGTTGATCGATAAACAAACTTCAGTTTGTGCTAGTGAACTGAGGAGAAGCGGGTCGAGCCTCGGCGCAGAGGGCAGCCTAGCGGGCGGGAACCCTTACCCCGCGCCTTCTGCTGACCGCCGTTTTGTACGGGACCTCCGAGCGCCACGAGGCTCTCACACCGCTCTCGACTAGCGTCGGCTCCTGCTCAGACAGGCGCCTACCTTTCAGTTCTCAAAGCGACCCACCACCACCCCTCATCTACCGCCCGATCGAACCGCATTCGTCTCTTGCGAGTTCCTCGTGCTCCAAGAGGTTCCAGAGAACGGGGAAACTCTGAGCTCCCTCCGCGTACGCTACGCTCCCTTCGGAGAGAGCCCCAGAGTCTTACCGCGCTCCGGATCCTCTTTAGCCCATCTCTGAGAGTTAGAGTGACTGGCTAGAGACGACGACGACGATACAGTTCATCTGAGCATCCAGCGTGAGGTGGTATGTAAATAGCTTCGAAGATGAAAGAAGGACCAAGCGCACCAGTGACACAAGGGACCGTTCTACTAATCTCAAAATCCGCCCACAGGGGCTGCCCGGGGCGGGAATGGGGAATCGGCTTCGGACCGGCCCCGATTTGCCGATATCCCCGCGCCCGTCGGAATTCTCATCCCGGGACGCGCGGAGCAGGCGGACATCGCTTCCAGGGAGGGGGGCGCACTTCTACCCACCCCCCCCCCTAGCATGTGGTGAAGCCTCTGGGGGGGGTCGGACCTCCCCCCCTAGCATGTGGTGAAGCCTCT